CCAGTAAGCCCTTGTACCAGGAGAATATTAACAAGATTTCAGTATCCTAATATTCCATTCTCCATTGTTCATTCAGACTACTGTGAGTATGAAAGGAAATGGGGAAAAAGAAGTACTCCAAACCCTGGTTAACCCCAATATTTGAAATTGAAATCCACTCTGATTGGCTATTTTTGTCCTCTCTTTTAACAAGATATAACTCCCGCTGCACACAATAATTCTTCCGTTCTCCGGTCTCAAAGGTAAAATTGCAAGTCACAGTCATGTGATATTTAACAATTGAAGAGGAAGTAAGGTTGTAAGTACATCATAGACATGTGTTGTGTCGCTCAATGGCCATATCCCTTAACAACAGAGTTGTTGGTTCCATTTGTGGTTGTTAAGTAAGGACTGTATTGCATCTTACATCTTTCAAGCAAGTCACTTAATATCTGTAGGAAACATACTTTTGTTTTTCATCCCACTGACCTGGGATGTTCTCATGCAGTAAACAAAGCAGACATGCAGCAAGAAGTGAGGATGAGTTTCAAGTTCTCAGTGTATCTCTACCATATAAATGCATGCCTGGTTCTTCCATTCAACTTTTATGATACACTTAACAAACTAATGATAGAGTTTGTACCAGTGATGGGTTGCAGGCGGTCCGCCCCAATACAGGCGTACCGGAGCCTGCTGGAAGCACCAGGTACTGTTCCGGTATGGTGCTCCGGACGGCCCACCCGCCGCCCGAGCTCCTTATCTGTCCTTTAAGCCTTTGGCGCTTCCGCACACGTGCATGGCATGTACAGTGCCTGTGCGACGCTCCACCAAGCAGCTGGAGCATCGCGGAAGCTTGCAGAGGCATCGCAGGCAGGTACGATGCATGCGCGCGACACATGCGTCCATGTGGGCGACGCCGGGCCCGTTCCAACCATACCAGGGATGCGGAACCCACCACTGGTTTGCACTATATACATTTTAAAAAGAGACTCCTATAGGCATTGCGGGGTTAAATCAATGCTTCCCAAACTTTTTCTTTCATTACTTCAAACTATCAGAAAGTCTTTTTTACCCAATGTAAGTAAAACACTTTAGGTCAGTTTCAATGTCCCTGTTGTGACTGGGTAATGGTTTTGTGTGTCATTACCCAAAGAAAAAAGCACTTTTACCAAATTTTGGATAATATACCCAAATTTGGGAAGCACTTGGCTAAAAGCTTGTTCCTGCTTTGTCAGCTTTGTAGGCAGGAAATCTTTGCTTTAGTGGAGTCAAACGTCTTTGACCCTGTTCTCCAGTTAGGGAGAAATGCTTTCTTGGGTCTTCTGACACGATTGAGATGGTATTTTCCATTCCATCTTTATTTATTTATTTATTTTGGTCAAACTAACTATTTGGAAATCAAAGGAATTAATTTAATTTCAGAACAGAAAAATAAGAATGCCTCAAGTTTGCCATCTAGTGGTTAAATCGTAAAATAGACATTTACATTTTGAATTGATGTTTAAAATAAGGACATATTGAATGCTAAACCCCAAAGTCATCCACAGTGCTTTGTCACTTTTGTTTCTGAGACATATATAAACAGGAATTTGGATTTCAGGCATGGAGAAAAATATGTGAGATCTGTTAAAAGGTACAGAAGCAATAGTGAACAGTGAGGAGGTTTTTGTATGCTGCTTAGAAATTGAAATGATTTATTGTGGCAATACTTTAGAGAGTATTGCAGTTAAAATAGGTGGAAAAATTAATAAAAGTACTGTTATTGGTATCTACTATTGCCACTCAGCCATGATGATTGCTTTTTACACTCGAATTGCATAAAGTAGCTTTCAAATGCGTATGAGGTAAATGTAATAGGAGAATTAAATTACCTTGCAACCATAATACTTCCAGGAAATGCCCGGCATATTTTGCTAACAAGTTTCTCCTTCAGAGAATGGAGCAATGCATAAACTATCAGCTGTTCTTGACTTCATACTAAATACTAGGAATAACTTAACTAAGGAAATGTAAATAACAGGACACTGGGGGCTGGAAATCTTCATTTTATAGCAACTAAATTTTAATGTAGTCAAATGCATATCTTGGACATAAAAAACATATTTTAATCAATTTGTGTATATGTAGGATTCTGTGGTATATCAGAAATGGAAAATAATCCAAATCATAAAGGAAGAATATGCAAGAATCATCTGGTTTTATATAAATAATGTTGAAAAAGCTGAAATTCAGGATGGGCTGCTACTGGTAAAAGATGCTAGAAAAGAAACAAAAAAAAGCTTTCTTAGATATATTCAGAGTAAAACAATCTGGAGTTAAATATGCTTAAAACTGTAGAGATGAGAGTGGATTTTAGGAGGAGCCCTATTATACCACCTCTTACTATAATTAACAGCACAATATCAGTAGTAGAGTCCTTCAAGTTTGGGAGTCTATACTGTAATCTCTCAGGACTTGAAATGGCTAGTTGATATTAGAACCATCATTAAAAAGGCACAATAAAGAATGTTCTTCCTGCCTCAACTCAGAAAGTTCAGACTGTCCCAGCAGCTGTTGATAACAGTTCTACACAGAAATTATTAAATCTGTTATTTGTAGTTCTATAACTGCCTGGTTTTGTACAGCAACCAAACAGGATAGGTACAGACTACAGTTAAAAGTGTAGAAAGAGTGATTGCAATCAGTTTGCCTTCCAAAGAAGACCTCTATATTGTCCTGGTCAGAAGGAAGATTGAGAAGATATCTACAGAACCCTCGCATCCTGGACATAAACGGTTTCAACTCCTCCCCTCAGGAGGCCGCTATGGGGTATTGCATGTCAAAACAATTAGACACAGCTGTAATATTATCATTTATCCTTATTATCTTTTTTACTCCCCCATCACATTGGTATTATTATTATGACAATTATTATTATTCTGTTGCTTTGTATGTACACTGAAAGCTTCTGCACCCCACTTGACCAAATACAGTTTTCTATCCTGTCCTTTCCTATCCTATCCTATCTTACCCTACCCTACCCTACCCTATCATGTGAAAGAAAAAATAATCAGCCTATCAATTTCTTACTGAAGACAGCAAGATGTTACTGAACATAAAGAATATCCTCTTGCTTTCCAATACTACTTTGCTGATGTAGCTTATGAACTATGGTGTGGTAGCAACTTTCAAATCTTACTGCATTCAATTACCTTCATGAAAATATTCTTTTCTGTCAATCAACATTATGAAAATACTTTTCAGAAACCATGTCCAGAACATGGAATGCATGATGAAAAAAGTTGTGGTCTTGGGCAGTCATCATCTGCTGCAACTGTTTCTTCAATAGCAGACATAGCTGAATGTACTGCTAATCCTGCATGCAGGTTGTTCATTAAAGCAGCCCCTGAGGCCCCTGTTGGGGGACGCATTGCCAAAGCAAACATTTGCGTTTGAGAGGAGCAACAAATTCAAAAAGTCACTGAAGCTGCTTTGCAATCCTAGAACGACTGTAAATCTCCAACAACTATTTTGTGAACACAGCTACATCATCACAATAGTGGAATCATCAGAAAATGATACCAACACTTTCTGCAGCTTGGAAGATGGGGAAAGAAGGAACGTTGTCTTGCTTCCATATTTTGACTTTTTCTATGGCAGATCACAGACTGTACAGGGCGGGGCATAACCTTTTCCTAGGGGGTCACAGCAACACTTGTAATAACAACACAAATAATTCATACACCATTCGAAAGCCCATCAAAAACTGAGTTTATTGACACGATTTAATAGTCAGTATGACCACCATTAGCCCTTCGAACAGCATTCAAACGAGGTGGATAAGAACACAACAAATCTTCAAACAGTTCCGTTCGATTTTCAGGGCGGGGCATAACCTTTTCCTAGGGGGTCACAGCAAGATCGACAGCAGTTTACAACTTCCGCGATACCTCATTTTAAAGCCCATAAAAAACTGAATTGAATGAGCTATTAAATGTTAAATTTGTTTCGGTTGAAACTTTGAGAATGAATTTGGAAACTGTGTTGAAAAATCTGGAAAATCGAACGGAACTGTTTGAAGATTTGTTGTGTTCTTATCCACCTCGTTTGAATGCTGTTCGAAGGGCTAATGGTGGTCATACTGACTATTAAATCGTGTCAATAAACTCAGTTTTTGATGGGCTTTCGAATGGTGTATGAATTATTTGTGGTGTTATTACAAGTGTTGCTGTGACCCCCTAGGAAAAGGTTATGCCCCGCCCTGTACAGATGAAATGCTGCTAACTTCAATGAAAGAATCCCACTACTACTTTATTCTGAGTTCTTCTGAACTGAATTAGAATTCATTGTAGTGTTAAAAAGGGGGGACTAAATGTTCAGACTGAATTATTATTTAAAACAATGCTAAATGTCCTGATGAAGTCTCTTTAAGAAATGCACTTAGATGACAAAACTAATTTGATGTCTTCAGCTGTCAAAATATTTAAGTTTTCGCTGTCTTCATATATCTTCCTCATGAATTAAAATGGTAATTGAGCAGAGTTTGAAATTGTTTGCATAATAAAAGCTCTATGGTTAGACTAACAATTATTGTATAGTTTTAAAGTGTAAATTACAGTAAGAACAGTGTAGAATCTCATGAAAGCAAATTATGTTTTCTCTAGATATATGGTTGCAGAATGGAATGTTCACACAATTTACATTATAATTTAATAACAGCAAGATGGATAAGTAGGCTTTCAGCAGAATAACTATTGTTCAGATACATAAAGAAAACATCCTTATTTTTCCTTTACAGCATTACAAAAACAAAAAATGCTACAGAATTTAATGCATCTCAGTGTTCATTTATTAAGTCTTTAAAAGAAGAGTTTGTGATCATATTGCCTACTGTATCACACCAATCTAGTTTTTGAATTGGAATCTTTATGAAATTAAATATTTTTTTCAATTTTTATTGAATTATTGGGTAGAAAATGCCATTTGTAAAATATGGTTTTGTTGCAGCCACCTGAAATGAATTCAGTTCTTTCTCTTCCCAGGGTTCCAAATAACAGTAGAGCCAGCTCCAATGAACAGTCAACTGTGCAGAGCAGTGTGAGCAGACTCAGCAACTCAAATTCACAAATGAGGTATGAGGTAGTTATACCTTTTGAGAATCTAGATTCTAGAATATTCACTGAAGCTGCCTTTGTCACGAGAATGGGGCTGTGCATGCTGCCCTTGTTGTTGTCACATCTATATCCAGATGTTTATAAATTGGCCAGATGATCTAAATTGGGAAAACTATATGCGGTCAGCTGGGGCTTCTAATTACATGGAAAATGATTAAATGTAAATTCCTTCTTTAAAACTGATTATCGCAACAAAAGACAAGAGAGCTCATAGTCATCCAGGCACTGCTGATTGCAACATCAGTGCTTCACATTTGAATTCATAAAAGTATTTAGGAGTATAGGAGGACAGTAGGAAGAAGATATGGAAGAGCATACATCTTTTTTAAGGAGCTCCCGGCATCTATACCCATGTTCCAAAGCGGTGGGGGGAGGTAACCTCCTTCATTTCAGTGGAACCTGTCAATGAGTTCTATCTTAAGCCAGATAAAATAAAGCAGAATAAAGCAGAATAAAGCAGAATTCAGATAGGTGAAACATATATTCTGCATAAGGAAATTCAATATCCAACTCAATCTGGAATAGCAAAGACAACTGAAAATCCACTTGGTTATTTCAGGATTTCACAAGATCCAAGCTCTACCATCCCTTTCACAGGAGATCGTCAAACTGATGCTGATATTATAGCTTTCATTAGAGCTAGAAAGAACCTCTTACATAAAAAAGGTAATTCTTATTCAAATTGTTAGTTGACCAATTATATGTATAATAAGCTTTAAAAATTCAGTGTTATCAAGATTTATAAAAATTAGAGAATTACATTGAAATTATTACATATTATCATTTACAGTGTTTTCCCCCCTCTTTTCTCTCTCAACATATTTGTTTTGGCTTTTAGATGATAGTCTTTCGAAAACAACATATCCTTTTATAATTTATAAATAATGTGATGTAATTAAAAAAGCAAATTTCCTCTGCCACTGTATTATGTTATGCCTTAGATTTTACTTGTGAACCTGAAAGGAGCTGAAAGAAAACTAAATAAGGTCTTTCACAAAGAGTCTTTCACAGGTGGGATAAATTGAAAGGGGCTAAGTAAGGGTGTCAAACTGGTGGCCTGCAGGCTGGATGCATCATGCACAGCCACACCCACCTAGCTCCGCAAAGGAAAAATGGGATATGTCACATGATGCAATTGAGTTTGATACCCATCAGCTAAAAGGTTTGTAAGAAATATGTTGTAGTGGAATCGAAAAGCAGGAAAACAGTGAGTGGGAAATCAAGATGAAATTAGATAGATTTGAAGTATTGAAGGTATACAGTTACCAGAGTGATTCAAGGTCACTTCAGAGGAGTTGGTGTAGAAATCATTTTACAGAGAAAAAAACATAGTGTGAAATTTGTCTAACCAATAACTAGTAGAAGAGAATGACCCAATGCGGTCTACTAAATTCAGAATTTACTTCCTCAGAGGAAGTTTTTTTGTTGTCTCTTTTGAATGGTGTGTAAATGTGGTTTATATCTATGTTGATGGCTGATTTGTCTGAATGCTAAGCTTCCAGGAATTCCCTGGGATTTGGGGATTTAGTTTGGTCTATTCTAGAATGCTTAAAGGTTTCCAACTGAAACTATGGTTGAGTCTGCCCATGTATTGTGAAAACTGGGGGAGTTTGCATCATGTCTTCTGACTAGTTGGAAGTTGACTAGTTGGCTGAAATGTATGAAAAGCTGCTTTCATATTGTGAAAATAATTTAAAATATTATTGAAACCAGAGAGCAAAGGAATATTTTAATCTCTTGCATCCCTGACAATGCCTTTATAGACATTAATATATTGTAGAATATTGAATTAATAAGCAAACAATAATATTCTCTTTAGCCAATTTGATAGAATCTGAGAATGCTAATATGGAGAATGACAAGTAAATATTGGGAAATATTTTTGTGGGTAGAAGCTCTATCAGACAAGCTATCTTTTCAAATATCAATGAAAAGTAGAAAATTGGGTGTTCCATCAGGATGTTCTGCTACACTGTATGTCAAGCTCAAGGCCCAGGGGGTGGAAACAGTGAAGGATTGGCCTGCAATACCTCTGCCAATGAAATCGGAGCTAGGGAGGGCTGCATGCGGCTGTCTCAAGCTTCATTTTTTCTGGCATAGGGTTGCAGAAGGCCATTGCAACCGAAACGGAGCTCGGGAGCCCATTTTTGCTGGCAGAGAGCTTCGGCCACCAAAGGCATGAATGGCATTGAGCTGGCCATAACCACCCTGGCTATGACCACCCAGGACCCCCAAGGTCAGAGGGCCACAACTCCCCTTGACACCCCTGCCTTAGATCATACAACAAAACCATTTTGTTTTAAGAAATAAGAAATTAACATTCATATTCATATTGTGAACCATTGATACTTCTCAAATCTAGTGACTCAAAAGTAGGCTGGGATAATACCCTAAAAGATGGAGGTAATGATAAGTAAAAAACATAGAAAGTTAACATATTCAAATTAACCAAATTTAACAACACATAGAATGTAGTTTTATATAGCCTTATAAACATTATGTTCATACAAGCTATTTCAGTCTCTTAGATCTATATTCTGAATTGAATTTTAATATAAATTGGTTCCTATGACTGTCCCTGTCTCTACAGGTAAGTAAATAATTACAAGTAGGACCTAACTGCATAGGCATCAATATATTTAGTTCCAACTTATATTACCTGTGAAGTGTAGAAATATCCCTGATCCTGGATTAAGTCTGCCAGATTTGTCACATTCCAAATATGAATTAGTTCCTAGATGACAAAAAAGACCATTTAATTCTGATCATTAAAAGTAGCACATTAAAAGTAGCACGTTAGGAAACATACTCAATATCAGAGACAGAGACCTAATGGTAAAAAGGGAACTATTAATAAAGGAGTAAAAGATTACTTTTAATAGAGGTTTGTAGTGACAGGAACAAATTATACTGAATATCTAAAAGCAGTCTAATTACTGAAGCCGTAGCTTTCCATCGACTCTTGAGTGCTGATGACAGCATTATTCATCAAGCCAGTAGCACCTGACTTGACAGATGGTGTTAGCATTATCCCACAGTAGTGTTTTAATCTATCTCTTTGGTTATCAGCAATAATTGTTGGGTGTAAATAGAGAGGTTACAAAACCCTCCTCTAGTCCAACCGCTTGGTCAAGCAGGAGCCCCTATAAAACTCCAGACAAATGGATGTCCAATCTCTTCTTTAAAACCTCAAGGAATATCTGAGCAAGGAACTTTAGTTTGCAAAGATCTTTTCCAACATTTTACTATAAAATCTGTTCAGTGTACAGAAATTATTTGCTGTGATATCGTTATAAAAATAGCTAATATAAAATAGCATAATCTTATGGATTCCCTGGGTTGCTTCAATTATTACAGATTTTTTACAGTGAAGTACTCAGTATTGAAATAATAAAAACTATAATAATGTTAAAGAATAGATCAAGAACCACTAGTTTGTGTTCTAAATAATGTATTTTAAGGAAGATAAATGACTTTTATTTCTATACCCTCCTCTCTCTAGCAGCTACTTGTGCTCTCCAAAACTTACTTTAGAGAGTCAAAGGAACATTTCTGAACAATTTGAAAAAGGCAACAGTTAAAAGAAAAAGAAATCATTCAAATTTCTGCTGATCTTCTCCCAATTTCCAGCAATTCATTTTCTTAACAATAGTTTCTCACAGATCTGTGGTTTGTTTGTAACTGTCTCTGGCAGTTTCATTGCTGCCATTATGCAGATAGATAGATAGATCAGTGCTTTTCAACCTTTTTTGTGCAAAGGCACACTTTTTTCATGAAAAAAATCACGAGGCACACCACCATTAGAAAATGTT